AATCACCTGGGGCCACGTAGAGAGAGAGAGAGAGCGCATTGCATACAGCGTATTGCGTACAGCGGATTGACGCAATGTCGCTAGAGACTATAGTAGTCCAACGATGTAAGGGTTGTAAATAATACAACTTCAATAATTTTTTTTCTCGGAAACTATAAGGATTTTATAAAAAAAATTTTTCAATATTAACTCCATTTTTCATGACGCATCTATTCCCAAATTTTTTTGAATACGTTGTGAAGCACCCTGTAGATGATACGAAAGACGTGTTTGTTAAAGTTTCGAAAATATTAATATTTTTTATATTAATTTCCTGAGAGGGCATGCTTATCTTGTTTTTATTAGATAATGATTAACCAAGGTGTGGGCAGTTTTTCCAAAGGTAATTCATAATTTTGGAAGTAACTTAAAAATATATCTTCGAACTACTTATCAATATTATCAAATTCTTATGACGTTTAACAAAACGTCTTTCTAAAATTAATTATAGCATTTTGCGTACCTCAGTACCAATTAGTCTACAAATATCTACTTATTTCTAGTATATGGTGAGATATATTTTATTTTAAAAATACATCAAAAATAAAATTGAATTATATAAAATAAAAATTATTGTTGACCTGCTGCTAGCTGGTAATCTCTTTTAATCTTCGGATTTAGTTTAAATGATAAATAAATAAGGTCCAATATATCACAACTGGAAAAAACTACATTAAGATCGTTTTAAAATAAAAACTGTGTAAGGTATTCAGACAATAGATTTAAAATATACAGAATAGGTCAAATTCAACACCTTTGGAACATTTTTCATATCCCTTAGGAGTACAAATTTTTCATTTCTTTTTTTTAATTCAATTATTTCCTGATGTGGTATCGATGAAGAAAAATGCATGTCTCACTGAATTGTACCATAAAACAATTGAATCATCAATCATTCTTTGATATTTTTACTTTGAAAATAACAACGGCCAACAAAAAAAAAGTTATGTGAAGTTTACATGCGGCATATGATTTCCTGTGTATTTTTATCTCCTGAGCACGGATCCATAGTCTGTTTTGCTCCATCACCCTTCAGTTTTCCGTAAATTGCTGAATACTTCAGAAAATCGCTAAAAATCTTCAGTAAAATGGAGAAATTTACGAAGAGACGCGATCTTAATACGTGACACATGTTTTTCGACGTAATTTTACCACCTGGATCCTGGATCCGAATCCGTTGTCAGAATTACTCCATAACCCTCTAGTCTTCAAAAAATCACTGAAGATCTTCAGAAAAAGAGCGAAATTTAAGAAGTGACGGCTTGCTGGGCAACAAGAGGATGCCGAATAGAATACGGCTCTGGAGCACATCCTCAAGGCACACTCGCGAACACAAACATTCCCGGATAGTGCATAGAACCCGGATATTCAGGGTTTGATGGGGTAGTGGAACGCCGGAAAAATCAACGGCCATGCGAAAGAAGATACAAATGACATAAATTTGATAATCCTCTTATTCTTATTCTTACCCTTATTCACTTTCATACTTTGCTGAAGATTGGAGAGCAATGATTTAATTAACAGAACAGACATCGAAAACCATGAGTCATATATGAAGATCTCATTACTTCTACAAATTTGCCATTTTTTATATCTTCATCGATTTTTTGAAGACTAGACGGTGGTGGAACAAATCTGGCATTGGATTCGGATTCAGAGGGTAACAATACGTCCGAAAACATATACTACATGTCAAAGTCTTGTCACTTCTCAAATTTCGCCCCTTTTCTTCAAAATCTTCAGCAATTTTTTGAAGACTAGACGGTTATGAAGTAATTCTGACATCGGAATCGGATTCAGGATGGAAAATTACGTCCAAAAACATGTGTCGCATGTCAAGATCTCGTCACTTCCTAAATTTCTCCATGTTACTGAACATTTTTAGCGATTTTCTGAAGGTGATGAAACAAAACAGACTATGGAGTCGTGCTCAGGAGACAAAAGTACATAGGAAATCATATGTCGCATGTAAAGTTCACATAACTTTTTTTTTGTTGGCCGGTGTAATTTTTGTGTTATTATCAGGTACCTAATATACAATTTCAGTTCATATTTCAAAAATTACATTTAAGAAAACATGGTTATAACCGAATAAGCCAGGAATTACAGAAAAACGTTGCACGCTCCACAGGATCGTATGCAAACAACTGCATACAAAACCACAAATGTTTTCACAAACGATGTTACAAAAAGATGACCAATTAAAATACCGAGATGAAATTTTAACTGTTCATTTTTTCTTGAAATTCGAAACAATCTCTACTTTTTGCCTCAGTAAATGTGAGAAACTTCCCAAAAATTTTTAAATTTGGCCCACCCCTTATTCTATTCCCTTATCTTTTTTTGGCGTTTTATTAGGAAAAAATAGTAAAAACCAAAGTTTTGAGAAATTTTCTAGCGATTTCAGGTAAATTAAACAATTGACTTTTGTATTACGAAGATATAAATCAAAGATATGTTTTTAATGGAATATACACTCTAAAAAAACTTGAGTAAATTATAGAAAAATAAATCTGGTTTGCTAAACTATGTGTTAATTGGTATACTACACCTAAGAGTAACTAGTTTGTACACAACTTTATGTTCCAACTCAAAAGTGATATTAACAACTAGTTAAGTAATTTTTACACAGTATGTTTATTATTTTCAAATATTTTAGTTCTTCTAACTAAAAATTGTGTTAATAAGTTCATTTCTTTGTTAAAATCTCAAGATCACTCAAAATTCACCACCAAAATAATTTCAGTCGCAAACCGCTCTTGACCGCTGAATGACTTTTGACCTACCGTATTCGGTCATTAACCTAGTTTTTATTGTGTTTTTAATGTTAAACGGTATAAACAAACTTTTTTACCTAGACACATAAATGAATAAGACATTTTTAACAATTAAAATATTGTGTTATTGTGTTATTTATTTGTTAATTAAAGCAAATGTATAAGAATAATAATTGTTTTCGAATGTTAGGTTATTGCAATTTAGTTGTATGTTTTCACTATGTTCAGTTAATTATTCAGTTTATAGTACGTATACCTTATTGTATGTGGCTAAAAATATATGTTCGTTCAGTTCGCGAGAGAAGTTGCGCTTTATTAGGAGTATAAAACACGTTAAATAGTATAACGCTTTTTCTTAATAAAATATTTAAAGATTTGTTTAGTAAATTGAATAGACGAAGAGCATGAATGTGCACTGATTCCGTGGCAATCTTCACTTTATCAGTAAATGAACCAATACAATGTAAAAACTGTCAAAGCAAATGTATGACATGTATATATCATTACAATTAGAAAAAATAGAGTTTGGGTTATATCTTCGAGTTGCAACAATCAAATGTTCTTTTTATATATTACTTTGGTAACTATTACTTTTTTCTGAATAGAAAAGTAAAAAAGATAATGGTGGTAGAATATTATTCTAATCACCCTGTACACATTGGTCCGCTTATTGTACATTATAAAAACATATATAACATTGCTTGTTTGTTTGCTTTAATTCACACAATAACCGGTTTCCCTACAAAAAAAAACATTTTTTAGGATATGAGTCTTCTCCACTCTCTAAAATTTATGAAACATAATACATTGATGGAATAATTTCTGGGCTACTTGACACATCATTGATCATAGACTTCGAGAATCATAGCACTGAAACTGATTTTATATAAAGTTTCTTTAGCGACGGAAACCTTTGAATCACGAAAATTTCCTTTGAAATGGAACCTGTATTATTTCCAAATTTTTAATTCACTTTATCCAATATCAGTTGTTCAAAGAACGTATACGGTACGTTTATTTTAGTAGATAGAGGCTTTAATTTAAAAAGTATGAAGTATTATCAAATCAATTTTTTTTTAATTCTCAGCATTTCTAAAGTTGATTTGAAATAACTTTTTGGTAGACCACTTTTTTCACATCGTGGGACACAATTGGTTTACATTTTCCTTATACGTTTTGTTTACGCTATGTTGAAATATTTTTAGATATTTCATGTCTTTTATTATATGAAAAAAAATCTGATTTGTTATAGTTCCCTTACAAAATTTAGATGGTTTAGTAATTCTTTAAGAATTCAACTACTTCTAATTAGTACCGATTCCTCAAAAATGTGTAGCTATTTTTAATATTCTATTTCATCGGGTATTTTACTCGTTCTAAGATATATGACATGCGACTTACAAGAACAATAAATACCTTATTTTATTATCAATTACTTTTAAACAAAAGTTAGAACCAAAATCTTTTAAGTCTTATACAAGTTTCATTATACTTCAGCTAATTAAAATACATTTTGCTGTAAATGAATACCTAGCTTGAATTTACGTGTTGCTTTTTATAACAGGTAAATTGAGAAAAAATGTCTCCAGTGTATGATAGAGTTAAGTGTACCTTTAGAACCAGTTCCAAAGTGACAAATAAAGTTGAAAGTAAAGACATGTTTGAAGAAGATCTAGAACGTTATTGTTTAATCTAGACTAGGGATGAAACAAACATTTTTTATAGATCGCTATCAATAAACTGATATTCAAGAATAATCCGAAACATTTTTAAACATTACATCGTAAAAAGCAAAGATTGTTGTTGATGTATAATCTTTGAATGAAACATGGATTACGTCTTAATTTACGACTCTTTAATCTCAACTGAAGCCTCCTGTCATCCTGTTTGTATACGATCATGTAGAATTAAATGGACAAAAGGCGGTCTCCACAGCTTATCGTACAAAAATTGCTACTACACCTTATCTCATCATAACGGTGATGCCAAAAGGAAAACCAATCATATCCAAAGTTCGTTGCAAGTAATTTAATAATTACCAATAAAATTTTTAGTAAACGGAATAAGCTCTCGCAATACTTTAATCCCTTTATTTTATAAATCGGCGGCTATCTTAGAAATGTTTTACCTCGGCGTATATATATTCCCGGTAATTCGCAACTGATAGGCATTGGGGTTTCATTCGACACAGTAGAAATTTGGTGGTGACATATACGTATGCCATCAGTAATGTTTTTTGTAGTGCTTTTTGTTTCCGTTGGTGTTTTTACATTCAATGCAGAAGCTGGAGGTGAGTGTATCCTAGTGTTAGTGCAGTGCTTTAGTTTCTAGTTAAACCATAGTTTATTAGGAAGGTAGCAGTGGTGATATTTACTAACTGACGACAATAAGGAACTTAAAAATATAACAATATTTTCGCATTACTTCAGAAATATTGTATAGATATCTTCTTCGGATGCTTTCTTAAATTATGTACTTGTTTATTCTCTTGTACTTTTACATTACTAGGCTATTGATTATGTCACATGGTATGGAATTACAACGTTGATGGGTTATTATTGCATGAATCGTTCAAATGGCTATTTAGAATGAAAAAAACGCGGAGTGCTATTAAATTAGAGGGTGGAAATTGGAGATGGGGGTAAAAATGCAACTCTTACGGTTTTTTGAGTATATCTCGAAAACGAGGCAAAATTTGAGGATATTGCATAGGAAAAATTTTGTAGATGATGAGATTTTCTATCGAAGTAGCTTATTTAAAAAATTTAAAAAATGTATTTACTGCATAATATATTAAAAATAATTTAACAAAATAATGCAAAAATTCAATTTTTTTTTTACTTTTATACAAATAACTTTTTTCTGAGCAGAGATAGTTATAGGCATTGCTTCACAGAACAAAAAAATGATGGGTTATAAAAGTTTTTTCGATGAAAATAGACTGAGTTATGGTCGTTCAAACTTTACCATTTTTTTCGGTTTTTACTCAATTTATTATTTATTTTATTTAATTCTCAGCTTTTCGATCTGAAACTTTTCTTAATAAAAACCGATTTTTCCATATTTCCCAAGGCCTGTTGGATTTTACGGATTTGAAATCATGGTAAATTCTGTGTCACAAATAAGCAGGACTGAATCCTAGAATCCCTGAATCTGCCTAAATTATTATTAAATAATTACATTTTTGAAAAAAGTGGTGCAATGGGTTTATTCACATAAAGAGTATAGTAATTTTTTATAAGTGAAAGTAGTAGTAAGAAAACTTTATAATTTGAAAATTGTCAAAAGCAATTGCATAAACAGCTCCTACAAATTAAAAATGCGTTAAACTTATCACCTCAAGGTGAAAAGCCAATTGCACTTTTTTATTTTTATGGCCCAAAAGGAGGACAAGCGTTTTATCAACAAGGAAGTTACAGATAACTTTCGTAATTAGTTCACAACTAAACCGATAATAAATTCTTTATAATTTATATTTGAATTGAGGAAAATGAAAATTGCAATATATTTATGTCCTATTTTTACTGTCTTATCAACTCATTTTCTTTGTTAAGTTGTATTACCTAGATAAATGTATTCTACAACAAAAACAAGTTCAATCACAGTTTCAATATTTGCAATGCATTTCTCATATTTAATGAAAAATATACGATTTACTTTGACAAGATAGCTCATAAATTTCAATCGTCATATTGCATTTAATTTAAAATTCACATAAAATATTCTATATCGACGTTAAATGGAGTAGTTGTTTTTTATTTTTTTTAATATTTAATATTAAAATTTAAATAAAATTTAAATATAAATATTTTAAATTTTATAAACTATCGTAGTCGTAAAATTCTGAAATAACTTTGTCGCTTACCTTTTTATCTCTGATAAAGAATGATGCAAAATTAATTTAAAAGTCTACCTGAAAAATATGTTTTGAGCAAAATTTTTATCAACAAATACTAGATGTGAAAAAACGTTGTTAACAATGGTTTATTTTATTGCTGTTATTAAAAGTTAATTAATTTATAGTTCTATAGAAATAAATCATATTATAACTACAGATGTTTAGATATTATCAAGCATATCAAAGTACATCGACTTCTAATTCTATTTTACAGATCTAAATTCATTTATTTCCCTAAGTTCATATTTGTGCGCAGGCAATCAGTACCTCATTCTAAAGCATTGGCATTGATATAGTTGTTTGATGAAAATGAAAGAAAATTAAAGTGATATATATTAATAAACCAGGGGAAGCTTTTATAATAATTATTATAGAATCTTGTTGATCTAAATTTTATTTTGAAAAAGAAAAGTTCATCTCAATATTCTCAGTATGTTGCTAATACTACTTTCTTACAGCACCAAAATGTCCCTCGGCGAACGATGATACATCTATACTTCTACAAGACAAAGATTGTTCCAAATATTGGCGATGCTTGAATGGTAATGCAGACCTTTTGGAATGTCCTAACGGACTCTATTTCAATAAGAAAACCAACAGTTGCAATTCGCCACATAAAGCATTATGCTCCGAAGATGAAAGCAGTGAAGAGCTTGATTCCGACGAAATAGAAGATATACTAAAATATGACAATAACATATACAGAACATGTAATACCAGCGAAATTCGTAAGTTCCGTCGAATGATATAAAAACCCTACTATAGAAAATACATTCTTGCAGATTGTCCAGCAGAAGACGATGAACAACCAGTATACTTTCCTCTTCCAAATTGCACTCAGTTCTGCCAATGTTCTAACGGGGTACCCTATCTACATGACTGCCCTGCTGACCTTCACTTCAATCCTGCTCTGAACGTTTGTGACAATCCACAAAATGCTGGATGTGCAAACGGAAATAGCACCGACGACTCGTCTACCACAAGCACAGAAAGTAGTGGAGATGACAAAAACAATTCTGCCACTACCACAAAAAAAGGCGGACCCACTATTGAAAACGACGAATCATATGAACTCTGTCCTGATACGGTCACAAATGGTAACTAACCTGAAGCACGACTGATTTATATGTGGATACACTTATAAATGCGATATATTCAGCAACGTTACTATTTAATTTTTTTTTCAGAATGTCCTGCAGTAGATGGAGAGCATCCCGTCTACATTCCCCTTCCAAACTGCTCACAGTTCTGTCACTGTTCCAATGGACTACCCTACTTACATAACTGTCCAGATGACCTCCACTTTAATCCAGTTCTAAAGGTTTGCGACCGGCCAGAGGATGCCGGCTGCGCAAGAGGAAATGACGTTATATCTACAACCGAAGGTACTGGTGGAGAAGACAACCAACCATCTCCAACAACGGAAAGCAGTGAAAGTAATGAAACCGATAAAGCCACTACCACGGAGAAAAGTGCAACCACTACAGGTAGTGACGAATCATATGAACTCTGCCATGACACTATCACAAATGGTAAATAACTTGAATCACTATTAAACTATAATTGATATATTTACAAACCCAATTTGTTGGACAAAATGACTATTAATTTCTTATTTCAGAATGTCCTGAGGTAGATGGAGAACATCCCGTTTATATTCCTCTTCCAAACTGCTCACAGTTCTGTCAGTGTTCAAACGGACTACCCTACTTACATAACTGTCCAGATGACCTCCACTTTAATCCAGTTCTAAACGTTTGCGACTGGCCAGGGGATGCCGGCTGTGCAGGAGGAAATGACGTTATATCTACAACCGAAGGTACTGGTGGAGATGACGGTGGAGATGACAACCAACCATCTCCAACAACGGAAAGCAGTGAAAGTAATGAAACCGATAAAGCCACTACCACGGAGAAAAGTGCAACCACTACAGGTAGTGACGAATCATATGAACTCTGCCATGACACTATCACAAATGGTAAATAACTTGAATCACTATTAAACTATAATTGATATTTTTACAAACCCAATTTGTTGGACAAAATTACTATTAATTTTTTATTTCAGAATGTCCCGCGGTAGATGGAGAACATCCCGTCTACATTCCCCTTCCAAACTGCTCACAGTTCTGTCAGTGTTCAAATGGACTACCCTACTTACATAACTGTCCAGGTGACCTCCACTTTGATCCAGTTCTAAACGTTTGCGACTGGCCAGGGGATGCCGGCTGTGCAGGAGGAAATGACGTTATATCTACAACCGAAGGTACTGGTGGAGAAGACACCCAACCATCTCCAACAACGGAAAGCAGTGAAGGGAACGAAACCGATAAAGCGACCACGGAGAAAAGTGTAACCACTACAGATAGTGACGAATCATATGAACTCTGCCCTGACACTGTCACAAATGGTAAATAACTTGAAACACTAAACTATATTTGATATTTTTACAATCGCAATTTGTTGGACAAAATGACTTTTAATTTCTTATTTCAGAATGTCCCGCGGTAGATGGCGAACATCCCGTCTACATTCCCCTTCCAAACTGCTCACAGTTCTGTCAGTGTTCAAATGGACTACCCTACTTACATAACTGTCCAGATGACCTCCACTTTAATCCAGTTCTAAACGTTTGCGACTGGCCAGGGGATGCCGGCTGTGCAGGAGGAAATGACGTTATATCTACAACCGAAGGTACTGGTGGAGATGACAACCAACCGGGATGCCGGGTGTGCAGGAGGAAATGACGTTATATCTACAACCGAAGGTACTGGTGGAGAAGACACCCAACCATCCCCAACAACAGATAGCAGTGGAGGGGACGAAAGTGATTTCGGAACTACCACAGAAGATAGTGTATCCACCACAGTAAGCGAATATATGCTCTGTCTTGATACAGTTGAAAATAGTGAGTACCTTGAATGAATATTTTTGTATAAAGTAAAATCAATATTTTGTTTCTTATTTCAGAATGTCCTGCGGTAGATGGAGAACATCCCGTCTACATTCCTCTTCCAAACTGCACCCAATTCTGTCAATGTTCTAATGGACTTCCCTATCTACACTACTGTCCAAGCGACCTCCACTTTAATCCAGTCCTAAACGTCTGCGATTACAAAGAAAATGCCGGATGCGCAAGTAACAATGGAACATATTCTACACTTACAACAGTGGATCCTGGTAATAAAAATACCGATGCTTCTGCGACAACTGAACGCAGTGAAGATCAGGAAACTGATCGGCCAGTTACAACGAAAAGCAGCACTTCAACTACTGAAAGCGCGGAAACAATTGAACTTTGTCCGGACACGGTAGAAAATGGTAAATATATTTATAGATTATTTTAATATAACCAATCTAAAATTGTTGTTGATGTCTATTGTAGTATGTCCCCCTGTGGACGGCGAATACCCAGTGTACATGCCTCTGCCAAATTGCGCCCAATTCTGCCAGTGCTCAAATGGATTGCCTTATTTACATAACTGCTCAGATGGCCTTCACTTCAATGCACTCCTAAATGTATGTGACTATCCGCAAAGCGCACAGTGCGACAGCATTCCGTCTTAAAGTTTAACAATAAACAATCTTAAGGAACATATTTATTAATATATTTTATGTTATTTGTGTTTGAAATACAATAATTATATCATGTTATTTTGTTTATTTTGTAACTATTTTGTCATTAGTTTTAAGTCTACGTGATTATTCACTCGAAATAATAAAGACTGTCAACACGACTGTAATATTTGCAGATTTTTTCCATTTTCTTATATCTAGGTAACTAGATTTTCCTTTATTTATTATAAGCTTTTTAAAACGACAATATTCAATTTTTTGAACGTATAACTTAATATCTGCCACACAAATTTTTGTCGCAAGATATATAGGGTGTTCCAGAAATAAGTGCCAAAATTTCAACCACTCATCAAAAGTAACAACTTTGTCTAATAATTTTTTTTCGAAAACCTCTTAATTTAAACTTTTGTTAACTGCGAAAGGAACATAAGTTTTTACAAACTGTTGTTTTTCATTATAAAGCTTTACCTTATCCTCACTATTTCACGTTATTTTAGGGCATACGGTTTTTGGGCTACGGATTTGGATTCAGCATCAAGGTCTATGTACTTATGTCTCTGGTACAGAACTTTTTTTGTGGGGTTGTGCAATCAAAGTTAGCACCGTTCATTTAATAACCTATGGTATCAGATAAATCACAGTTAGGCCCACGAATGTTGACTTTTATAGACAGGGTCTTTGCCTAACAGATTGCATATTTTTGAGGCGTCTTTTCTTGAAACTGACGGTCTTGACTGCCCCTAGAACTGTGGGTAATATCAGTAATCAGAGATACCATTTTGTCGTTTATATCTAATGTTAGTATATACGATACGAGTACAATATTCGACGTTTATCCATGAAATATATCATGTGTGCTGATATAGTAGAACTCTTTACATTAAGTTATATAAGTATCCCTAAAATATGGTGATGCTAACTAAAAAAAATACCATTAAAGCTCGATTCAATTAACTACTTCTCGATCACATTGCATACACTTCGTACTATGTTCATGGTATTTTATAACCAAGGATTACACAACCCCACAAAAAAAAAGTATCGGATTTGGTATTCAGACCCTTGTATTTCCATGTACTGTTTCTGCTGAATCCGAATCTGCCTTCAGATTTGGCCCGACGGGTCTGAGTTTTCGGGAAAATTCAAAAAACAGGTCAAAATTGACAAAACACGTCATTTACGATCGACGAAAGTTATAAAAAATGTAATTATTCTACCAGCTCACTACTAGACGTACGATTTTTCACTCGTTTAATTCCAATTTGTCATCATAGAGCCAGACAAGCTGGTCCAATTTCATTCAAAAGCAGAAAATAGATCAAAATGCTTAAAAACGCCATTTTCATGGCATAATTCGTGTTGCAGAATTCTGGGTCCATCTTTTTATCCACCCACCCATTTATGAATTCATACATCTTTCTATCCAGTCGTTCATGCATGTATACGCATATTTATTCATCCACCTGTACCACCTATAAAACCCACCCATCCACCCATCTATCCATCTACTTTTTGTACTGAGAGATGAGGTAACAGCCTAGGAAATTGAGAATGCAATAAAGCTTGTAGAATACTCTACTTTCTAAACAAAAGAAAACGATATCTACAAATCATCCTTATTTTTGTTGCTATAACGTGTTCTCTTTTCTTCAAAGGATCTATGCAAAGGGTTACGCTTTCGTTTAGTCCCTCTATTTTTCGTTTCTCTTTTTAACAACCAACAAGTTTTCGCCCTATATATATAAAGGGCGAAAATTTCCGAATATTTCTGAGGCGAAATTGAAAGAAGGTGTATTCGATGGACCTCAGATTCGGACATTGTTCAAGGATGCAACATTCATCACTACAATGAGTAGCGTTGAGAAGAGTGCTTGGACTAGTTTCAAAGTTGTAGCGACAAATTTTTTAGGAAACAACAAGAGTCCTAAATACGAAGAAATTGTATCAAAAATGATAAAAGACTTCCAAGATCTGGGATGTTTGATGAACTACAAGTTGCACTTCCTTCATTCACATCTGGATTGGTTTCCTGAAAATCTTGGAGATTATAGCGAAGAACAAGGCGAACGATTTCATCAGGATATGAAGGTTATAGAACAGCGATATCAAGGAAGATGGGATGAAAACATGATGGCCGATTTTTGTTGGTTGTTAAAAAGAGAAACGAAAAATAGAGGGACTAAACGAAAGCGTAACCCTTTGCATAGATCCTTTGAAGAAAAGAGAACACGTTATAGCAACAAAAATAAGAATGATTTGTAGATATCGTTTTCTTTTGTTTAGAAAGTAGAGTATTCTACAAGTTTTATTGCATTCTCAATATTCTAGGCTGTTATCTCATCTCTCAGCACAAAAAGTAGATGGATAGATGGGTGGATGGGTGGGTTTTATAGGTGGTACAGGTGGATGAATAAATATGCGTATACATGCATGAACGACTGGATAGAAAGATGTATGAATTCATAAATGGGTGGGTGGATAAAAAGATGGACCCAGAACTCTGCAACACGAATTATGCCATGAAAATGGCGTTTTTAAGCATTTTGATCTATATCTATTTTCTGCTTTTGAATGAAATTGGACCAGCTTGTCTGGCTCTATGATGACAAATTGCAATTAAACGAGTGAAAAATCATACGTCTAGTGAGCTGGTAGAATAATTTGATTTTTTATAACTTTCGTCGATCGTAAATGGCGTTTTTTGTGAATTTTTACCTGTTTTTTGAATTTTCCCGAAAACTCAGACCCGTTGGGCCAAATCTGAAGGCAGATTCGGATTCAGCGGAAAAAGATACATGGAAATATATGGGTCTGAGTACCAGATCCGATACTTTTTTTGTGGGGCTGTGATTATCTTACAGCTTAGTTAACATTTTTTTTAAAACTAGACCTTAATTAGTTAAAGACGTGGTTAAAATTTTCGCGGTTGTTTCAGGGATACTCTGTATAATACGATCAGAAAATGCAGACTCGCCACGGAACATCACACGAATATTAGGAATTAACATAGGTATTATTTAATATTTAAATTTACTTACCACATAAGACGTACCTATTTCGAACTTTGTTCTCTAGAACTCACTTATAATTTCATATGTGCAATAATATTCAGTAAAAACATTGTTCAGTTAACCTCTAGTGACTAATGCGACCTACTGCGAAACATAACTGCTACTTCCGATCGTACTTTAACTGCAGGATAAAAGGCTAACTAATAACCAATTACTTAGATAGCGTTGTAAGATATAGGAATATCGTTATTTGATGAATTATTTAAATTAATATTTCACAACGATGATTTTAAGACAAATATTACGGCGGTACTACTACCGATTGATCATTTGCGGAGTAGTAAACAAATAGAATTATTGAAAAACATAGTTTAGAAAGAACATACAGGGTGTAACAAATTAGTAAGTCAAGCAGTTAACCACATATTCTTTGGACTAAAATAATGGCGCTTTCCTTATGCCACTTTTCATTTTAGAGCCCCATTTTCAAATTACAGGGTGTCAAAATTAAAATTTAAAAAATGATTTTTATTGATAACTCCGGTGATTGTAGAGATATTTATTTGAAATTTAGCACACATTTTGATCTTAAGTCAGCACACTTTTTGTATAATTTTGGTTTAAAATATCAAAGCGCGTACGTAGGGAAGGGGGGTTGCAGTATCCATAGACCCCCTATTTTTTTTGAGTACGACTATGCTTTCGGACAATTTTTTTAGATAAAGCGGCGTTTTATTTAATTTTTTTTACTCTTGTAAGATTGTAAGATTTGGAGCCTCGTTTACGAGATATTGTAACTTTTTTGGATACGCGACATCAATTTAGTCGACGTTATACTTTAATTTTTGGAATTTTATGAAAAATTTCTTTTATAAGGTAACTAAACAACAGTTAAAGAAACGAATTGTACGAGGTAAGAAGCACTTTAAGCTGAAACCACATATTTTGATTTGGGGCTTGCAACTTGACATGCAACTTTTTTAGATATGTTAGATTTAGCTCAAATTAAATATCATTGATAATAATGAGGCTCCAAATAAAAAATTTTACAAGAGTGAGAAAAAACAGAATAATACGCCGCTTTATCTAGAAAAAAATATTCGGAAAGCATAGGCGTAAAAAAAATAAGGTCCATGGATACTGCAACCCCCCTCCCCTCCGTTCGCGCTTTGATATGTTAAATAAAAATTATACAAAAAGTATGCCGAATTAAGATTAAAGTATATACTAAATTTCAAATAAATATCTCTACAATCACCTGAGTTATCAATAAAAATCATTTTTTAAATTTTAATTTTGGCACCCTGTATTTTGAAAATGAAGCTCCGAAATTAAAAGTGACGAAAGAAAAGTCACATTGTTTTAGTCCAAAGAATGTAATGAACTGCTTGATCTACTAATTTGTAAGACCCTATATATTGAGAATTATATTAAACTAGCAATAACTGACAGTTGATTCCTATTAGTGTCAATCGGTACAAAATTGTCTAATATAACGAATTTATATTTCTCTAAATTTTGATAAATCTAATATAAGTCGACGTAAGAGTGAAATAAAATACCGAAGTATGGAAAATAATACTCTATATTATGCACTTAATCAATTAAGTGAAAACAATTGCATATCAATAATCATTTATTGGTACTAAATCGTAAAATTTTCAGTAAAACTAATATCATAAATTATTGAGAAAGCCATGTGTATAGTCATTCATCCATCGAATTCCGTCGTCGCCGCAACTCAATGGGAAGGGAGTAAGAGAATTAGAAAGTTTATAATACACTGTAAAAATCGGTGTGAGTGAGAGCAACAAAGGTATGGACTGAATCCATTGAGTGAAATTATTGGGTGCAATTTCACTCAATATTGAGCATTTTGATAATTTCTCAGTTGTGAAAATATTTGCACTAAAACTTACTAGGTACCTAGTTTCACTCAAATATAGGTACCCGTTGAATAAATTCTGCAAATAAACTCGTATTTGGTGCACTTGCATAGCTAATTCGGAGTAAATGTCCTCATTATTCAGTGACTCCACCTCGTTCTATGGTTGTCGTGCGTTGTCTTTGTCTATTCCCATCGTCCGATTAGGTCAACTCGTGGCGTGGTGTATGACGTGTAGTACTGGATTAGTGTCCGTTAATCTGGTTATTTTGGTGGAAATTATGTTTAAATGCAATGGTTTGATTTCAATAATTAAAAACAATAAGTGGATCCAGTTCAACATGTCCCAAAATTGTATCCTGTGCAGCCTCGTTAGTAACAGCACAGACAAAATAACTATCGCCCCAGACCGCTATTGGAATAGGCCAGCAGTTTTAAATTTCCGAATTGCCAATAAAGTACACCACCAGCAGAATTTTAGGAAGAATCAAATGCAGCGGCCCGCATTCCTACGTGTATCCCAACAACATATAAACAACGGTTTGGCAATGTTGTCACGTATACTTACGAATTTATTTTGTACACTTTTTATCAATGCCTGCGTTACTGTATTGATAAAAATGTTTTAAATAATGAACGAATAGGTACAGGATGATTCACTATATTTTGACCCCCCCCTTTAACTTAAATATAAAAGTTGCACGAGTTTTTATGAATTTTTCGAAAATGATAGTAGAAAAACAAATGAAGTCCAAACAAAATGGCCGCGGATGTTAACTTTGTTAAGTTAAATGGAACACCCTGTATATTTTTACATATTTGGATAGAACGTTCCCTGTNTAAGAATTTCATCTTGTTCTGACGAAAAAGGGAGCCACTGCTGACTTTTCATGTTTTCTTGTCAATACGAAACTCAACTAAACTATGATTGCAAGTTGACTGCCTGGAGAGTATTCACACTTGCCGGAACATGCACGGCACATGCCCTGCAAATATTCTTTCGGAAGAACGTCGCGTGCAAAGTCTGTTGCTTGCCGAGACGCTGCACGTATAGTGTGAATTACACCCCTCAAAACCCATAAGATACAATGGTTAAGATATTTTGCCGAGCCGGTGCTTGCCTTGCACGCAAGTGAGAATCGGCCTTAAGGACCTCGAAAACGATAAGAAATACAAAATTGCAGTTAGAGCTTATCCAAACTTATCTTGTTTATCGAGTCTCGATTAATATTTGGTTAAATAAACGGATAGTTAAATTGTTACCTATACTTACGTGTCTGTACGTACAATATAAGTTATGGCAATCTATTCGTTCGATCAGTGAATCAATTCCTTTAATCGAGACCTAAAATATTGTCTCTAAAACAGATCTGTGTCTGTGTAGAAACCACTGTGGCAGCTTAGTAGTTTGATAATGAACGATATTTAAATTAAAAAATAAAGAGAATATAAAGTGGTGCAAAATCACTCCAGATTTCATCAAATGGAAGCAGCGATGGCTGGTGCGGGGGGCTTTGGGGTGCACACCCNTACGCCTCCTAAAAATGATGACACGATTTTCCTTTGATAAAAGACCGACAATTTTTTGCTCTACTTTGCATCGTTTACGATCGTACTATAGGTACCTAGTTTCATTCAAATATAGGTACCCGTTGAATAAATTCTGCAAATAAACTCGTATTTGGTGCACTTGCATAGCTAATTCAGAGTAGATGTCCTCATTATTGAGTGACCCCACCTCGTTCTATGGTTGTCGTGCGTTGTCTTTATCTATTCCCATCGTCCGATTAGGTCATCTCGTGGCGTTGTGTATGACGTATAGTACTGGATAAATGTCCGTTAATCTGGTTATTTTGGTGAAAATTATGTTTAAATGCAATGGTTTGATTTCAATAATTAGAAACAATAAGTGGGATCCAGTTCAACATGTCCCAAAATTGTATCCTGTGCAGCCTCGTTAGTAACAGCACAGACAAAATAGCTATCGCCCCAGACCGCTACTGGAATAGGCAAGCAGTTTTAAATTTCCGAATTGCCAATAAAGTACACCACCAGCAGAATTTTAGGAAGAATCAAATGCAGCGGCCCGCATTCCTACGTGTATCCCAACAACATATAAACAACGGTTTGGCAATGTTGTCACGTATACTTACGAATTTATTTTGTACACTTTTTATCAATGCCTGCGTTACTGTATNTATTTAACATTTTTTTATAACTCTTAAAACAAAAAAGTTAAAGGGGGGGGTTAAAATATAGTGAATCACCCTGTACCTATGTAGTCAACTTAGACGATCGGATATTCTGCAGCGGTTATTTAATCATAATTTAGTTAATTAGCTATTTTAATTTTTGGGTATTGAAATACTGCAGAAAATATATTTTCAAATAAACGAAATTCGTAATGATATTTTAAACAGCTTGTAATATAAATTTTTAATATTTGATGATGAAGATAAATTTATTTAATATACAAGGTGGATACAAATGTACGTCGTGGAATGTAGGTACAGGATTTTTATTTGTATTTTGACATCCACTTATAGGTTTCATAATTAAATATAGAAAAAAAAACTATGTACGACATTTCCTTTATTTCTTTTGAATCATAAATCATCATAAATTTCATAAATCATTAAAAAAAATTAAAATTCATCCTTATTGAAATAACAAACAACGATTTTTATAAGTAACCTTTACAACAACATAAGGAGAATATCTAAAAACGAAATAACATTAAAATACCTACAATTTTTACAAATTTTCAACATGCAATCGTGATGATACAGTTGAAAATATGCTTTAATTTACTATTTATTGCTTTAAAAACAAATTCAGAATTATCAAACATTTCGTCCTGTATTTTTTCTTTCAATACTTGTAAATTTTGAGGTCTTTAATAATATATTTTGTTGAAGTGTCCCCACAAAAATATGTCTAAA